CCAGGATATTAAAATAGTTGTCTATTTTCAAAATATAATCAAAATAATTACTGTCCTTCTCCTTTGAAACAATTTGAGTAGAATTAACAACCATCCTCGATTGTTCCTGCTTGTCCTAATCAGTCCTGGCATCAGCTAGATTAGAAGGCCTATTCAATAAAACTTTAGTAGCTTGTATTTGTATAGGTTTCTCCTTTACTGGTTCTACTTTCTTGTAAACCTGTTTAGCACTTGGAACGACTCCAGCTTTTATAGTTTTCACCACCTTTTGAGCTCCTTTGTTGAAAAAATTTGCTCTTATACTATTAACCAACTTCCATGGACCATACAATACTTCATCAGACTTAGGGATTGTCTGATCATCCACCTGAGCCTTTGAAGTAGAAGGATTTCTCTCTACCATTTTGACATTTTCCATTGTCTTCTTGAGAACACAAGCCTTGTTAAGATGTCCCAACTTCCTACAATTGAAATAGAGAGTTGATACCTTCTCATATTCTACTTTTTGAAAGAAGTGAGCATGCTCCCAATGGATATTGCTTATCAAGTTCAATTCTCACACATACCCTTGCAAATTCCCTCCTCCCCCATTGAAACATGTCTCCATCAATGAGAATAGGGACTCCAATCGAAGAAGCAATTCTTGCCAAGGAAAAACTGGATCCCGTACCTCGAGAGAACTCGCCTCAGAAGTGGTGCGCACAACTCTATAAACTCTGGCAAGTACAACTGGCGCTAACGAGAGTCTCTATCCCTGTGCCAACTGGCTAGCTGCCAATAGCACACTACACCTCAAGGAGTATGTCTGGAGTGGGAGTACAAACGTGCTAAGCCAGAGCGCCAAGAAACCAGTCAAAAGCAGATCCTCATCAATTCCCACAAGACATGGGGAAGTGTAATCGGCTGAAGAAGAAGACTCGACGGTCTCCTCTGACAGCAGAGCATTGCGCTGCAAACTGAAGCCGAAAGGGTCGTATAGTGGCACCTCAATTGAAGACAAGTACTCCTCCTGGAGAAAGCTACGGATCCAAACACCCACAGGAATCGAAGCCCTGACACGCCTCGATAAGCCTGAGGCTTTGTAGGTCTATCGGTAGTGCTGTAGAATAGTGGGGTAAATGTCAGGAAGCAATAATCTCACTCTCATGCCACCGTCTCTCGAAGGAATTCACCTAAATAACTTATCATCTGGAAGGACGCACTCCTCAAAGCGGTGGCCAAAAATTGGTAACACTAAAATTGACTGAAGGTCTGAGAGAGTAATCGTAAGCTCCTCTGCCTCATAAATCCCTGCTACCTGTAGCGTACCCCGGTGTGTCTGTAAAACATAGCGAGCCCAGTAAATGTAGCCGTTGGCTGGACTCTAAACATGTCCAACTACCGAGTCCCTCGGCCATTCTATAGGCGATGACTATAACTGATGGTGGCTCAATAGACTCGACTGTCCAACTGGATCAAATGTGTCTGCGGCAGGCACTAGAATGTTGCATGTACCCCAGCCGACCTGAACAACTGAACGCTCTAGAGGGTGGTACTCCCCACACTGTAGTCTGAGGCTGGTGACCCGGCTAACTGGATTCTAGAAAATAACATAGTCCTCATAAATCTATGGAAGTAAGGGGAGTGGACAAAGAAGCTGTGAAAGATGTCTCACCCCTGCAGCATATTCTGGTGTTGCTCTAGTCTATCCCGAACATCAATGCTGCCCTGGGGGTCCTGCCTGTCAATGGCCTCCCAGATGGCATCCTCGCTGGGCTCACCTGGAGGCAAATCATCAGATCTCTGCCAGTGGAACATTCCCTGCAAAGGAAAAATAAGAATAATGCTTCAAAAAGTAGTAATAATAACAAAAAAGGCGCTAAAAAAGTGGGAAGTTACTAAAGATCGTCTACTGATATGCAGCAAATGTGATTTGCTTTAGGCGCGTACCACATTTGATGACGGGCATTTGTTGACCCCTACAATCAGCCCAAAAATTATAAGTTTAATGAAGATGATTCAGTTTGAATGTGGATTGCATTAGTTTTTGTTATGCACTAGTTGAGGAAGCAATCAAATGACGAACACCAAGCTCCTATTAATGGGGGCTGATTTGTACAGAAACATTTCTCTTTTACCTATAGTTGGCCATGGTGGTGTAGGAAAGACAACTCTCTTGCAACATGTTTATGAAGATGAAATGACAAAGGAATTTGATCTTAAAATGTGAGTTTGTGTTGCCAACGACTTTGATGTGAAAAAAAAAAAGTCTTTACAGATATGTTGGAATCTCTTAAGAAGGAAAGGCTTCATTTGGAGACACTTGAGACACTTCAAGATAATCTTCGGGCTGAGATCATGTCCAAAAGTTCTTACTTGTGCTGGATGACATTTGGGAGGATGATGAGAAGCAGGATAAAAGTGAATGGGAGAGGATGCTCGTCCCTTTGGCTTATGGGAGTTTTTGTATTAGAATTTTGGCGACAACTCGAATGGGCTCATATGCAATGATGATTGAAACGATCATTAAAAAGACTGCAAAGGTATTTAGATTAGAGAGCTTGGAGAAAGATCAGTGTTACAGCTCCTCAACTCTCATGCATTTGCTAATGAGAAGAAACCTAATTATTATAAAAGATTAAGATCCATTGCTGGAAAGATAGTTAGAAAGCCTTCTGGATCTCAATTTGCCGCAAAAGTCATCGATGGTGTCATGAACTTATAGGCAATTCAAATATTATAGTAAGGTATGCGTTACGAAAGAAACGAGGCCTTGAGATGCTCGAACGACGTCCGATAGACAAATGGATAGCACCATTGCATCCGGAACGTCACCGACATTAAGAGTATATATTTTATTTAATAAATCTGGATCGTCTGAGAAGGTGGAAAATTTTTAGGCAATTCAAATATGATATGAAGGCATGTGTTACGAAAGAAACGAGGCCTCAAAGATGCTCGGACGACGTCCAATAGACAAACGGATATCACCATTGTGTCCGGAACGTCACCGACATTCAGAGTATATATTTTATTTAATAAATCTGGATCGTTTGAGATGGTGGCAAATTTCTAGGCAATTCAAATATGATATGAAGGCATGCGTTACGAAAAAAACAAGGCCTCAAAGATGCTCGGATGACGTCCGATCGACAAACGGACAATGCCATTGCATCCAGAACATCTCCGACATTCAGAATATGCATTTTATTAAATAAATATGGATCATCTGAGATGGTGGCAAATTTCTAGACAATTCAAATATGATATGAAGGCATGCGTCACAAACGAAACGAGGCCTCGAAGATGCTCGAACGAAGTCCGATTGTAAAACTTATGGCGCCATTACGTCCGGAACGTCGATGGCATCAGGAATATACATTTTATTTGATCAAATTTGATCATTTGAGTTAGTGTCACAAATTTCAAATGTGATTCAATTATGTTGCGAAGGCATCCACTACGAGGGAAATGAGGCATCGACAATGCTCGAATGACCTCCGATTGACGAACGGATTACGCCGTTGTGACCGAGACATTGTCAATACCCTTTAATGCACTATGAATTTGTTTAATTTTGATGTTTGACGAATTCGACACACTTAACGAGTAAAAAATACATGAAAAATGAGGAAACTACATACGGATTGAGGCAATTTTGACTTAGTGAATGACGTTTTGTCATTTCTAAAGTAATACATTAATGCATAATCATTCATATGGTTAATGGCTTGATGAGTTTGGCATATATATATATATATTACTAGACAAAGAAAATGTATCAAATACATTAAGTGTCGTACCTCATTCTGTCATTTTTAATTAATACATTAATTTCTAAACACTAATATGGAAATTAAATTTAAATTTCTTTTGGAAAAAAGCAGAGGCCAAATAGAGAAAATATCAAATTTAATAAATGTGTTTACCTCATTTTATCAAAGTCCCTTGTCATTTATTTCAATCAGTGCAGCTGGCCTCTATTCGTCCTTAAGGAAAAAAAAAAGAAAGAAAATGAGGTCTTCAAAGTGCCAGCTCTAGGCTTCGTTGTGGAGATACAATCTCCCCACTTCAAAACTTGAGAGCTCCACCTTCACCTCTTGCTCTCTTGAAAGCTCCTTATGCTAGTGGCTTTTAGCCTTCCAAACCTCCTCCACACCTTCAGCTACGTTTTCCACCTTCAAACCTCTTCCCCCACATCAAAAAAAAAAAAAAAATCTATAGCAGAGATCTTGTTTTGCTGGACCGTCTCAGGTTGAGCTCTTCTACAATCATGTTTGTCACCTACTCAACCTCACAGCTAATCCCGTAGCTTCCAACCTTCTAGCAGTTTATCTAAAGTCAAGTAAATCTCATACGTGAGTTTCAGATCTTCTTCACTTCCCACAGTTTTTCTTGCACATCTCCTATTCGAGCAAAGCAATGACACCTACCACCGACAGAGCTCGAATCTTCCCTTGCAGCAGAAATGTAATAGCCTTCACCTAAATCTCTTCGCCTAGATGCTAGGTTTGGCTAGTTGATTAGTCCGATCACAAGCAAGGGACTACCGACATAGTGTTGACTCTGTTGACGATCAGCTTCTCCATTTGAAGTGCCCACCTCCTCCTCTCAAAAAGTCTGGATTTCTAGACTTCTCCTTGCCCAATACTATGATTCCCACGTGAAAAACCTGCCCTGACAGCAACTTTGCTTTATTCCCACTCACAATTTTCACATGAGAACCAATAGAATCTATAGGTTTCTCTTTTTCCTGTTCCCTTAGTTTTATTCGCATGCATGTGGCTGAAGTTATTCCAACAATCTATCAAGAGTAATCTGTACCCTACACTCAAAAGTGTTTAGTAGCTTTCCTCATTTTAAGATAGCATGCTACAAATCAAAGAGTAAAATACATTGAGAGGGAGTTGCATTCTTTAGAAAATCAAGGTGAGCTATGCTAGGGTTTTTCTCCCTAGCCGACCTTCGTCTTCCTCTGCTTGTTTCTTCCTCTCTTATTTTGTCGGGGAGCTCCCCTCCCCATGGCCAATCTCTCCTCCCCTGCGGAGTTTCCCCCACTCTCTTCTAAGAGTGTGGCTCCTGCAGTTGCTAATCCACTTAGTTACAACAATATCGTTGCTTCTCCTTATCCTGGAAACACTTTTAAGCTCTCTTATGCGGTTTTGGAGAATGATCCATCAGATTTCAATGAAGTTTATGTAAAAGCTACTTCGGATGAATGGGGTCTTGAGTTAATAGGTTACTCCATCAAAAGACGACCATATTACGAATCCCTGCTCTCAGTTATTCCTAAGGTTTGGAAACTCAAAGGTATGATGAAAGTGCTCTCCTTAAGTGATGGGTTTTTCATGTTGAAATTCACGGTGAACAAAGATTATGATATGGCTTTAGCGGGAGGGGTGTGGTTTTTCCTTGGCAAACCTTTCGTTCTTCAAAAATGGGTTCCTAATTTCAAACTAGCTAGAGAGGAGTTTTCTTCTATTCTTATCTGGTTTAAAATCCTTGACTTACCTCTTCCTTGCTGGACTCCGGATGGGATTTCTCGAATTGCTAGTAAGATAGGTACCCCGTTAGCAGTGAATGACCTTACAGCTGATAAAACTAAGCTCATGTATGCCCAAGTCTGTGTTCAAGTTTCCAAGGAATGTGCTTATCCTGAATCTATACCCATTTCCATTTTAGGTGAGCCTTTCTCCCTCAAAATTCAATACGAATGGAAACCTACCCAATGTGAACACTGTGGCTCTATTGTGCACATGCCAGATTTCTGTCCTGCAAAGCTGCAAACTTCTAATATTATTGTCCAGCCGCCACCGCGTGGTAGAAGCACAAGTCGGAAGCCCCCCCGGGCGACTAGCAAGAATTCCAAATACCAACCAGTTCAACAAAATGCTCATTCTTCTGAGAAGTTGCCCTCTTCTTCCAATGTCGCCGCATCTCAGAAGCCCATTGATCACCCAGTTTCTTTAACGCATACCATCCTCCCAAACTCACAGCTCAGTAATCCCTCTCCGCCTGTGGTGGACATTCAAATTTTGGATATCAACACAGAGAATTCCTTCACTACCATTCCTAACCTCAATTCTCCAACTAAGGAATCTGCCACTTCTAGCATTATAATCACCCAACAACAAGATAAGGTAATTTCTCCAAACAAATTTGCTATTCTTCAAGAAAGTAATAGTGAGATAGTGCAACCTCCCCCTACTTCTTCATCTCAGGACAAGACTAGAAACAACACTAATACACAACCAAAGGCTTCTAGGAGTAAGCAATCTAAAAAAACTCCTAACCAATCATCAAAATCTCAATGACCCCTCCACGTCTTGCAGCTTGGAATGTGAGAGGTTTCAACAGCTCAGATAAGGTTAGGGCTTGCAAGGATTTAGTTCGTGGTCACAATGTTGACTTACTGTGTGTATTGGAAAACAAGATACATGAAGCTTCTTTCTCGGACCCCTGGTTTCATCTTAACCATTGTGTTTTTAAGAATGAGGAAAGTTGTCATAATTTCAATTTAACTATCTCGGGTAGGATTTGGATCAAATGGGATCCTCTTCTCATTCAATTCAAGCCTTCTCAATTCACCACTCAGCTGATTTCTGGTGATATGTATAGGGGGCAGGAATTTCTTTGTGTGCTCTATGTTTTTTATGCCTCCAACTCCTCGGCTTATAGAATCCTCCTTTGGGATAAACTTAGAGAAATTGGAAATCACATTAATTCACCTTGGCTCATTGTTGGTGATTTTAATTGTTGTCTTTATGTTGATGAGAAATCTGGTGGCACACCGCTCCTTGCCCCCACAACTCAAAATGCTGCCCTCAATCAAAAATTGAAATCTCTCAATGTTCAATTATCAGATTGTTCTTCTTCTTGGACTAATTGGATGCTCCAATGTGCAAAACTTAAATGGCTAGCCAGAGGGGAATATGATTTAAAATTTCTTTATGCTATATTAAAGAAAAAAAAGGAATCTTAGTGCCTCTACTTTGGTTGCAAGTGAGGAATCTACTACTAGGCAAGAATTGATTAATTCTATCACTCAACACTTTGAGAACCTCTTCAATGCTAATTGGCCAATTAACTCCCTTGATTCATTCCCTATTCCCAAAGGTAATGTTATTCCAACTCATTTACGTGATTTGCTGACGGTCCCTATTTCTGATGTTGAAATCAAGGAAGATATTTTTCATGGGAGTTATAACTCTTCCCCGGGACCGGATGGGTTGAACTTTATGTTTTACAAATCCACTTGGCTCATCACTGACCCTCTGGTTTGCAAAGCTGTGAAGTCATTTTTCTCCAAGGGCTATCTTCCCATTAATGTCAAAGCAACTGCTATTGCTTTGATTCCTAAATCCACTCATGCTTCAAACATTTTGGACTTTAGGCCCATTGCTCTTTGCAATATTTTCTATAAGATTAAATCCAAAATCCTAGCGACCAGAATAAAGGATATCATGCTGCTTATCATAGGGACTAATCAAGCGGGTTTTATCAAGAAGCATATTGCCACTGACAACATTCTCCTTGCTTCTAAAATCCTCAATGATTTCAAAAAGTCTGCCAAAAAGAACTTATTGTGTGCCAAGTTGGACATTCGTAAGGCATTTGACTCTTTTTCCAGAGATTTCATTTTAGATAGAATGAGACAAAAGGGATTCCCCTCTATCTTTATTCTTTGGGTAAAAGCATGTATTTATGATGTACATTTTTTTATTTGCATTGACGGGGGGGGTTAGAAGGCTTTTCTAAATCATCTTCAGGCATTAGGAAAGGCTGTCCCCTGAGCCCTTATCTTTTATGTATTGCAATGGACGCCTTCTCCTTCTTGATTTATAATGATACCATTAAGAACAAATTTATTGGGTTTTAGAAGCAAGGCATGAATATTTCTCATATGCTCTCTGCTGATGACCTTCTGATTTTTGGGGAAGCCTCTATTTCTATTTGTGTATCCCTTAGGGAGGTGTTAAACTCTTTTTTGCTAAGGTTTCGAGCCTATTGGTGAATCATGACAAGAGCTAGATTTTAATCTCTAGCTACATTTCTAACCATACGGCGGTTTGTGAGGCCCTTAATATGCCCTCATCTTGCACCAAGATGACTTATCTTGGCTTGTCAATTTTAGTTAAAAAGAATTGTAAATCTGATTTTCAACCACTCTTGCACTCCATCTCTAATCATTTATCTGGTTGGAAAGCTAGTTTGCTTTCAATTGCAGGCCGTCTTCAATTTCTTAAATACACCATTTGTAATACAATTGCCTATTGGATTATAGGGACTATTATTCCTAAGTCCTGTATCAAAACTCTTAGCATAATGTGTGCAAAATTTTTGTTATGGTGGGATGTTACATTACGCAGGGAAATTGCTTTCACCCACTTTGAAAAGTAATCAGTCACAGCAAATATGAAACGATGACCTCTCGAGGAAGGAGGGTCAATCGGCCAGATAATATCTGTTTCCCAACTCTCGAAGGTCCATGAAGTTATCTTCGGGTGTAACACATTAGGAGACTAATGTAAAACCACACTCTGGACCTGGCATTGATGACAGTGCTTTGTAATACTCATGCAATCATCAATCATTATGGGCCAATAATACCCGAGTCTTTGTTAAGAGAGTTGCTATTTGCATATTTTACATTCTTGCAACTTGTATAGTTTTGATGATTCCAAATATTATTTTTTTATGTGTAGTTATCTCCTAACACTTTATGGAAAATTTGTATTTGCTCTTGTATGTACTAATATTTCAGATGAATCAAACTCCTGACCATGAAGAATTCAAATCAAATTCAGCAAGAAATTTTTTGCAATTTTAAATCTTATAAATATTATTTGAATTGAGAGGGAGTGATTGTAATTGAGTGAATAAAAACACACACACACACACACTTAAGGAGATCTTAAATTTTTTATACTGATCATACGGGATGATTTTTATTTGTACGGGACTATCACACAGTTATCTCCTATTAAGAGAACATGGAACGAACTAGAACTGCAAAGAAATTTTTCTAACTCCTGATCGTCCAGGACAAAATATCTTCGTCCCAGGATGACCTGGGCTCTGTAAAAATTTTGTCCAAACAAAATCATTTTTGTCCCAGAACGACCTGGGCTCTGTAAAAATTTTTTCCATACGAAATATTTTCGTCCCAGGACGATGGAACCAACTTAGACAATTTTCTGATTTCGTTCTGCAGTTTTTGGGAACCGACCTTGTGATAATCGTTCGTACCGGATGAACTTAGTTCATACAAACGATCAGTGTGTACAAAGTGACCTCATACACATATACATAGAGATCATTTCCAAGGCTGTTAAGTAAAATTGTCCAGGACGATCTACGATCGTACGGGACGATCCTATGCATGATAACTTGAAATTTTCCATTTTTTGACGGTTTTTCTTGTCTCTTTTATAAATAGACTTTACTAAACTAACACTTAATCTTTTTACTTACTGATCTTCGTGCCTATTGAGAAGAGAGTCAAGGAGAGAGTATGGGAGAGCATTTGAAGGAGATTTCTTTCCATTGGAGCGTGAATGTTTCACTTGGTACTCAAGGGTAAGAGTTTCTACTTTTATGTTTCACTCTTCTCTCTTTTCTTTTAGATTAGACTTGTGAAGAAGATCTTCAATGAGATCCGGTTCTCTGCCGACACTTGAAAAGTGTGAACAGACGCGGGTTCTCTGCCCACACTAGGAGAGTGTGAAAGGATGAAGGGTTCTCTGCCTATATCGGGAGAGTGTAAAAGGATGAATGGTTCTTTGCCAACATCAGGGGAGTGTGAAAGGACGATGATACTCTGCCAATACTGGAGATAGTGTAAAAGGACAAACAGTTCTCTGCCAACATCGGGGGAGTGTGAAAGGACGACGGTTCTCTGCCACACATGGTAGTGGTGAAATGAGTTTGTAAAGACTTCTCCGCCTTGTTGAGGGTGCAAAAGAAGAGTCATTAGTGGTATTAGTACAATACTCGGAGGGTTCCTCTGGGGAGTGGATGTAGGTCTGGTTTTGACCGAACCACTATAAATTTTGGTGTCTTTTATTTTCAGCTGCATTTTATTTTTTATGTTTTATACTTAAACATTGGAACTTTTATTACATCCAGTGAACGTACGCTCCTCTACGTTCGGTTTTAGACCAAAACAGCGCAATACCGAGTTTTTTGAAAAAACTCGGTACAACTCGGTACTCGGTACTCAGTATTGCGCTGTTTTGGTCTAAAACCGAACGTAGAGGAGCGTACGTTCACCGGATAAAATAAAAGTTCTAAACATTGTGGTTGAAAAACATTTTCTAGAAAATCTCGCAAATGAAATTATTATTTCCTAAAATTTAAAAAGAAGGATAAAATTTTTTAATTACCAAATTCACCCCCCTCTTGGTTAGCCGTGGGACATTTAATTAGGCTTAACATCCTAATTCTTATTGAATGAGTTTCAATAAGTGGTATCAGAGCTTTGTTTCAAAATCATAAGTTTAGACTACTTTTTGATTAATGTAGATGACTATATTTGAAAATAGAAATACACCTAAGGGTTATTCTATAACTAGACCTCCACTGTTTGACAATATTCCTTTTGATTTATGAAAAACACGCATGTCTGCATTTTTTATAATCACTAGATTATCGTATGTGGATCTTAGTTCAAGAAGGGTATACAAAACAAACTAGATTAGTTAACGGAGTTAGAGTTGAAACACCTTTTATGTACTGGATAGTAAAAGAACGTGACTTAGCACAACTAAACGCTAAATGCTTGAATAGTTTCTTTTGTACTTTAAAATCAGAAGCGTACATGCGGGTTTCTACATGCAAAAGTGGAAATGATATATGGGATAGACTTTGTATAACCTATGAGGAGACTAATGAAGTTAAGCACTCTAGACTTAATATCTTGTTGCATGATTATGAACTGTTTCGCATGAAACTAAATGAATCCATATCTAATATGTACATAAGATTCACACAAATTATCACCTCTTTGCATGCATTGGGTAGGGAGTTAACTAATGATGAAATGGTTAATAAGATCTTACATTGCTTTCCTACTATTTATGATGCTAAAACTACTGCAATTACAGAGTATAAAGATTTAAATATTTATTCTATTGACAATCTTCTTGATTCACTTATTTCTTATGAGCTAGGAGTTAGCCAAAGAAAGGTTGATGCAGGTGAACCACAAAGGGAGAAGAACATAGCACTGAATGTGGAAAATTCTGATGGTGAACACTCACAACATGAGGATGAAGACGACATTTCTTTGATGACTAGACAATTCAGAATCATT